TACCAATAGTTTTAATTTTTAATATACTTTTATTAGTATAATATCTTTAATCTAACTATACCATAATTTATGTCATTTAAATATATTATAATGATCAGTTATAGTTTATATTCAATTCATTTTCAAATCTAAAAGTATATAAAATATTTTTAAGTAATAATACATAATAAGTAATAAACAAATATATTATGAAATTTGAAAAAAATATTTAAAATAATATTTAACATTAATATATCGAAGATTTCTTTTTAGAAATACCAGAATTTCCAATTTATCAGAGATCAGCCTGCTAAATGGCAACTGTCAATATCACCAGCTTCAATAAAAACAGATTCGGAAGAGATTATCGCACACTTATGCACAAAAAAATTAACAATATGGCAGAATGATTATTAATTAATTATTATTATTAAAAAAATATACATAAAAATGGATTTCGATTTTATTTATAAAAATAAATGATTTTAGATATTATTTTTTAAAAAAATTCTATAACATTTTATTTTTGTTAAAGACGCCATTTAATATCGGATCGGGTCGGAAAATTTTAAAATATTGGCCGATAACCGATATTTTAAAATGGGTGAAATATCGGCCCGATCCGATTCGCTAAAAAATATCGGTACATCCCAACTGGAACCTAATTGTAAATCACTGAAGGTTCCAGGAATGATTTAAATAATGATAATTAAATAATTATATTACTTTTTTTGAAGTTGTTAAACCCTTTCTATGATGCCCATAAGAATTTTTTTGTTAATTTTTGTAATGTCATAGCAACGCTACATTTATAAGTTACTATTCGTCAAGATCTTTTTATTTTGATTACTTTAAATGAAGAGGTTTAAATTTACTCGGGACTGTTTAATACATAATTTAAATTATACCTACTTTCAAGACACACTGATCATTAAATAGCCCTATACTGAAAAATTATTTATTTGGTGAAAATAAAAGATATTCACATGAGACAAAGTTTGATATAGGCTATTTGGGTTAGTTTGTTGGCACATCTTAAATTGCCATCCAACAAAGAGAATATTATATATTTGAATAAAATAATGATTTAAATTGGTTTATATTTGTTTATTTATCACTAATAGATTATATCATCAAACAATATTCTTTGAATTTCTGAAGTTTCATAAGGCCTAAATGTCATCCAGTTAATATATTAGATATCAGCAGAGTTGTTAACCTTCCTTTTTAAAAGGACCTAACCCTCTTACCATTTCAAAAGGAGCTAGCTCTCGCATTTAAGTTTTTAAAAGAGCTCCCGATCCAAATTTTTTAAAAGAGGAGCACAGTCCACACCTATCGCCTAAAACCTGTTTAGTGATACTAAACCAGCACTTTACAGGAGCACTAGAGGTATTATTGTATTTAGAAAAATATTTTTAAAACATTATAGTAAAAACAAAGGATATATTAAAAATTAAATATAAAAAATATGTATATATTCTATGAAGAAAAACATTAAAAAGAACTATAAAAAAATTTAAAAAAAAGGTACATATCATCGTAGAGAAGAGTGAATGCTTAAAAAATTGGGCTGGCAAATTTCGAGAAAAATCTGTTGACGAAGGTTAAATCCTTCATTGGGGTCTTTGAGATCTATCTCATTTTTCCCTATGGTTTTAATGAAATTGAGGGCCTCACTTCCGAACACGCCTAATGTATTGGTAACGAATGGTTTGAACACAATGTTGGTGAGACCAGCGTATTTGTGCCTTTTCGATTGCAGAAAATGAGAGGTTAAACTTTGCTACAAAAGCGACACAATTATAATCTCGATAAAGCGGGAGATCATTAGTCCAGGGAATGAGGGATATACCATCGGGGTATGGCGTTTTCATTTGAAGGGCCCAATGGTTCAAGGGTGGATGGGATATTAACTTTTTAAGCGCAGCTAGGAGAATTTTGTTGATATATTTATGACGAGGTTGTCGTTACATATTATTTAATTTTTAATATATCCTATTATTTTTTTAAAAAAATTATTTAATTCAATAAAAAGAACGCTATAATTATCAAATAAATTTATTTTTGTTTTGTTAAAAAAAATTTGTCTTATTCTTTATAATCAATTTGATTGAATACAAAAAATCTTTTGTCGTTGGGGGGTATTTTCGGTGTAATTGTAAGTATTTTATGTTAGAAATTTGTTTTCTTATAAAATTAATTATTTAATTTTTTCTCTATTTTGATCCCTGCTTAAAGCAGGATGAATACCGCAATGATATTGTTATTTATTATCAGTTGAAAATTTGCAATAAAGTTATCTAAAAATATATAATTTATTTGTAAAAATTGTAAATCTATAATCAATGCCGCATACAATAGATTTTAATTGGCAAAATTCTAAATCTGCAAAATCACTTAATTTTTATCTGAACCTAAATAATTGAAGTTAAAAACGCCATAATCATACAATTTTTCGCTTAATATTTTATCTAACGATACTAAGATATTCATAATATGAATTCCATATTGTAGTTTTTGGACATATTAAATATTTTCATAATTTTTTATTATATTAGCACCCAGATTTATGGACATATTTTGTTTATCCCATTACACTTTTGAAATGAGTTTGGGTTATAATTTTAAATATTCTATTTTCTAAAGCTTCATCTGAGTTCACTAAATTGTGGCAGGCAAAGCGAGAAAGTTATGGTAGAAAATAATAACTTTGTACTCTGCTAATCAGGTTCAGTATATAATCACACATCAAAAATCTTCATATATTTAGCGAGAATAAAAAATGAAAATAATAATAAGTTCATCAATTAATATATTTAAATAGTTTCATAAATTTTAATAAATATATTGTAAATTCCATAAAAATCAACATGAGTTTCACCCCCCCCCCCCCCTCATATTTTTTTAAAATTTTTACTAGGCTTTCATTTATTATACCCAAGACGCTCGATTAGAATTGGGAATATTCTTATATAACTTCTAGCGGTACGTTGAGGTAGCCCAGGAAGCCAGCAGGGCTTTACGAAAGGACCTGCCTGTTACGATTTTTACTTCCTCTGAAACCATGAATTGAGTTTGGAACTTTAGTCGCGGGCCATCCAGTATATTGCCATGACTAGCTTTCGTACTCACTCTTTGATGGCATCACAAATAACTATCTGCCTTTTCACGCATTATTTTGACGATTTTGCGAATATGCTTGAGCTCATGTCTATCACGGCCATTGGCCTTACACGTGCGCTCTTTGAGATTGGACTGTTGGCCTTTCCATAATTTTTGGAGCATCAACTTATTATTCGCGGGTGATAGGGGGGAAGATAAGCGTGGAAGGGTTAGCTAATCGTGCTCTGGGTGTAGAGGCGCTGCCTCTTCCTATGCTGAATGCCATCTTTCATTATATCAATTGGTGTCGGAAGGTGAAAGATGCTGGGCGCGGGTTTGTGGTTCTGATAGAGGTCCTGGATGCGCTCGAGGCCAAGGCCTGGCACTGTCTGAGGCGGCAGCTCCGGTGTGGTGGTATTGCTTAGTTAGGTAGTGGTAGTAACGGTGGTGGCGGCACCGGTGTTGCGGTTATGACATTAATTCTTAAGGTCAACTTGGCAATCGCCGCCATCATGTTGGCCATATGATCTGCTATAGGTGGTGGAAGATTTTCAATAATGGTTTCTTCCACTGACAGGCCTGCGCCCGAGTTGACGGGAGTTAGAAGGTTTTGTAGTGGTGGAGCGAAGAGGTTCTTTCGAGTATGTGATTTAACCATTATGTGGATTGCGTAGGAAGGAAGCAAAATTTTAGAGTTAGTAAAATAAATTCTCACAATAAAATGGCACCTGAATAAAATAGTAGACAACAACGATTCTTTTAAATATTAAATATGTGATAGCTTTTGACTTATATACCTATTGATTAATATCAAATATTTATTATGAATATTTGTAGTAGACATTAGTTTGCTGCCCTAAGCCTGACCTCGGCCCAACTTGAAATTCGCAAAATTTATTTATTAATCCTCATCTATATAAATATAATTTGAGAGAAAAAATAGGCTGAATGATTTTATGATCATTTCCGGGAATATTTATATAGCATTATGTTACTTTAAAGGCCTACCATTAAGCTATATAAAAAAGATATCTAATATAAAGAGCGTGTATTTTACCCCAAATGATGCCTCATTTTTCGACATTTAGAGGCCTATATCTCAGCTACTGTTTGGAATTGGAGGCTAAAAAATTTTATCAAAATCTGAGGGAGTCGCGTTGAAAATCGTGTTTTCTTTGTTGATTTCTCATGAAATTCACCATATATTATTTTTATTGTATTCATCAAATATATTAAGATTATTCTTTAAATAATTATACAATAAAATTAAAGGAGCGGGGGAGCACCGCTTTTCCGGGAGCACCGCTTTTTCGTTCCATCCCAAAAAAGAGCCAGCTCCTACTTTGTGAAAAATAGAGGAGCTTAATGTTTTTAAAATGTAGTTCTTAGAGCGGTGCTCTTTAACAACACTGGATATCAGTATTTATTTTTTCAAATATATACTAGTCAAGAGTTATAAATACGAAGTACGAGACCCTACCAGTATATATTTATATACGAGATAAGGCCTGACGTTGGCTAGGGTTATCTCCATAAGTAATATATGTTAAACTAACAATTTTTTTAATATCTCCATCTGTTTCATTTTACCAAAACAGATATGGATATGGTTAGACTTATATTTTTTAGCCTTTATATACAAGTTATTATTGATAATATATTCAAGATTCTTTACTAACTGCTCAATTCGAGAAAATTTTTTTAATATAAATTTTTTTTAGTATAACATTCTTAGACACTAATATTTTTTTACAAATTAATCCCTCCGGTATCGTATTTATTGATTCTTATAATCAAATATTTAATCAGCTGCTTTTACATTATAAAATATTCGTCTATCAACAATTTATAATTATATCTTTTTATATTATCATCACAAAGTAAAATTTAAGATATTATATTTACCAAAAAATTAGTTCGTTCAAAGACGGGGGTGGTATCCTTGATAATGTATTTAAACCCTTTCGCAAAGTTAGTTCTAACATAAATTGGAATTCAAAACCTTCGGAAGATGTAGAAAAAAATGATAATGACGCTGATTTGGAAAATACTATGCTTAAGGTATAAATTTATTTATATATTACACCTAGTCAGAGTTGGGCAGATCCTCCGGAAAAAGTCTAGATACAGATTCTTTATAAAAAATGTATCTTAAATACAGATGCAAATATCTTATTTAAAATATCAAAATATGCAAGATAGAAGATATTTGTATCTTTTACTAAATGAGAGTATCATAAATACACGATATTTTTTATAAAATTATCATTACATTACCAATTAAAACTAGTTAAATTTACATACATTTTTTATTATTTATTGATGAAGAACATAACCTATACATATAATATAAATACTTACAATAATTAATAAAATATTTAATGCCATTTTTATTATACTAATCAGGCATTTTAATATTAGTTTTAGCACACTCATAGAATAGACAGGGAAGGAGACTAGGATTTTTAATAGGAGTTGAAATATTAATTTAGAGTATTTAAAATTTATTAAATCAAAGTATCAATTTCTCGAATAATTTATCATTAATCATTAGCCGTTTTGGAGTATTTAACAATGTGCCAGAACTGAATAATCTTTCAACTTGAGCAGATGAAGGTATTGCAGTAATATATTAAAAAGGTTCCTTAATGAAAGGATAATAATTAAACATTTCTAAAGTAGTTCGACCGTTTTTAAGATAATTTATAAAACCTTCAGCTCAATGTTACTTGTATTATTTAACTCATTAACATTTGCTTCACTAAAAAAAATAATCATCATTTTCTTTATTAGATGTTTATTCTATTGGTGTTTAATTTGAGCTTGATTATATACTACATTTAGGACTTCTTTAATTATATATTTAAAAAAATTTTTTTTTTATCATCTGACTTAATCCACAAGTTCTTAAAATATAGGTTTGATAATGATGCCAAAAAAGGCTCAATATATTCATCATTGGAAAAAAATTTCCCAAATCTTTTACCCATACCATCTTGGACAGCTTTTATTGAAAACTCAAATTTTTAAGTTTACCTAAGTCCTATTTAACCAGAAATAGTATGGGCACTATTCTCCATAAAATATACTACTCTCTATAGTTTGTCTAATGCAATTGCTACAGGGCTCACTTCATCCACTTCTAAAATAGGACAATCAATTGTTTTAAATAATAAATTTAAATGTGATTTATATTTTAGCAGCGAAGTAATATTTTCATATAAGCTATTCCGCCTGGTTATGTATTTCACTTATATTTTATGATTTGGGCCTTCCACATGCATTCTATAATTTTTTACATTTTCCCATTACTCTATAGTAAATTGAATCTTTCCAAAATTTCTTGAGTTTGATATTGCAGAAAGATTATCTTTGGTGGCAATCAATGATTAAATGTGCCAGGCACACGTGATGTGCCTGGGGATTTTTTTATTTCATCTAAAAATAAACATTTAAAAAATTCTCATTAAATTATAATAGGCTATCATACAAAATAATTGTCAATAGCATTTAATTTTGCACCATATTCAGTAAATGACCAAAATTGGAGGCATTATTCGTAATAATAGCAATTAGTTTATCAAAAATCCTATGCTCTGACTTCTCTTAATAACCGCAATTTTATCAAATGAATGTGCTCCAGGCATTCTTCTTTTTATGATATTTTATATTCAAACTTTCACGCTGCCATATTATAAATTTATTGAGAACTAGTTAATAATTAAAAGCTTAAATATATTTTTATTCCTTTTTTTATATACAAAATGAAAATAATATTAAAAATATAAAAGAAATGGAAAGTAAAAAAAATAGTATAAAATTGAAACAAGTAAATTATAAATGAATACATAAATGTTGAAAATTCTCGAAAGTTTGGGTTGTCGTTGTTTGTTCATCATCAATCTCAAATTGTTTTTCATCATAATATTCTTGGTTCAGCTTCATCTTGTAGTTTTCTTTCTCATCATCATATTTTGTAGATGAATTTTATTTCTCAAATGTAAAATATAATGTAAATATAAATAAATATTGCGCTATGGATCTGCTATGTCTGCAAATTATTTAAAAACTTACGATAATAGCTTGCCATGCCTAAAATGTATAGTTCTTAAGTTTTTGGTCTAGAATGTTAGTAATAGTTTTTATTATGTCTCTATTAGGATGTATACCTTAAAATCAATGACATAACCCAAGAATTGAATTTCTTATTTTTAAAAATATACTTTTGGCAAGTATTAGACCATACTTCGTAATTCTGTCGAAGACTTTTTTAATATTGTTTAAATGTGTCTCATCATTATCTCCAGTTATAAAAGTCATCAATCTAAAATATGACATCTTTCATGTCACCAAAATTTTGATCCATAGCTTGCTGATTATAGCTGAAGCAGATTTTAAATAAAATGGTTTTTTAAAACTCAATTTTAATAAATTTCTTCCCTTTTGGTAATTTAGAAATTCGTTAATACTTGGTATAGGATATTTGAAATCTTATAAAGCAGGATTATAGAATTTTTAAAGTCGGCGCAAAGTCTGAGTGAGCTATCACTTTTATATACTCCAGCTTTCGTTTTATATAAGCTTTATTATTTTATCATTAATCCATTTCTGTAACCTTTTTTATTTATATCAATTCTCGAGTATGTAATCTTGGAGGTATAATTTTAGGCAAAGCATCTTGTTTTAAAAATAGTAGAATGTAAGATCTCATCACAGGTTTATTCCTAAGCTTAAATTCGCAACGTATTATTATTTTTTTTTATTGCCACATCTATCAAATTCACAATTTTTTTTAATTACCCAAAAACTTTAATTCATGTTCTTCCTTGAAGTGATTTTATCGTTGGACCATAAATGCTTCCAGTAGTTGAACCTTACTTTCTTAATTTACATTAACTTAAACTGTACTTATTACCATTATTGTTCTTCCATTATATCCTGTTATTTTTGTATCCAATTTATTTAGCCTTTTAACTTTTGCTTTTTTTGTTACATTAATTGGTAATATGATGACCGCCAACGAGTGTTTACTGCTTTATGATTGGTGTGTTATTTATTTTTAACATGACTTTATAAGCATCATAGACATCACATAGGTTGTTCAACTAGGCTCAGAAGGTGTAAACCTTATACAACAAATGCACATATCAACTTGTTAATTTTATTTTGTGTAATTATTGGTTATACATTTTCTTTTTTTTATAAAAATATTTTAATGGCATTAAATGAAACTGATATGCGGGTTGAATCATATTTTTATGGTCGTGGAGTTTGCTGGTTTTCTTTGCTCTTTTAGATATTGATATTCTTTGCATAGGTCTAAATGGCACCTCTAACTCTTTTTAACAAAAATAATATACAAATATAATATAAATAATTCACCTTATAGTGATGTTAATATTTCTAAAAAAATCGAACGAGTTCAAAATGTTGACAAAAATCGATTGCGTACACGTTCAACCTTCACATTCGAAATAAAAAAGGAACGATTTCACGTTCATTTAAAACTATATGAATATATATTTTTTTTAAATTTTATTTTTGAAAAATTTAAATAAAACCATATATTTTTTAACAATATTAGCCATTTTTAAAATTATTATTTTTAAGTATAAAAAATTATTTTTATTTATTAAAAAAAAAAAAAATTCTTATTAATTTATAATATATAAATACTTATATATATATATATATAATGTAATTATTTATAAAATATATAAATATATAATACTTTAAATGTTCAACTATTGAAATATATAACCTTTGATAAATAAAAAAAATAGCGAAATTTTAAATAATCACATTAAAAATAAATAAATTTTAAAATATATTAACTATTTTATATCTATGCATATAATATATAATATTTAATGATTTTTACTTTATATCTATTATAATAATCATAATAATTTAATAAACCTATGAAAAACAACAATCTAAAATAAATTATTACCAGGATACTTATAGTTATATTTAGTGATGTTAATCGAATTTAGTCGACTAACATACGACTAACTAATAGTTATAGTCAACAATTCGATTTAGCCGACTAACAGACCACTAACTAATAGTTATAGTCGAAAAATTCGACTAAAATCTTTAGCCACTAAATTAGTCGACTAAAGTGACCCTTTTAGTTGGCTTAATCGATTAATTTAGTTGACTAAATCAAATTTTTGATAACCGAACCTGCATCACTGTATAATCGTTAATTAGTCTAGTTCTTCCGACTACTTTAGATTTCAGAGGAGATGAACAAAAATAAAGTGACAATTGTCATAATCGTTATTTTTAATCTTTTTTGAAGCAACAGGGGAAAATTGTTGTAAACATGTTAATTTAAAATTTAAATGAGAATGTACCATAGAAAAGTGACAATTGTTATAATCGTTATTTTTAATCTTTTTTTAATTTTTTTGAAGCAACAGGGTGAAATTATAAGTTGTAAACACGCTAAATTAAAATTTAAATGAAAATGTACCATAGAAAAGTGACAATTTTCATAATCGTTTGAATTTAGTTTTTAACCCACGCCCATCCATCTAATTAAGCGAGCTAGCTAAATCATATTAAAATGTGCAAGCATACCGGTTAAAAATTTTAACTTCTATTTGTTATTTAAAATTTATGTTTCATAAAATTTTAACATTTTAATACTAAAGTACCAATAACTGTTTGGATGTTATCGTTGGGAGAAGTTAGTGAGATTAAAAAAAACTTGTTAGATTTGAGTTTCATGTAAGAATATAACATCGACGTGGATAAAAGTATGATTTTAGCCGTTTTCCCAAAAGCAAAGAAAATTCAATTATAAAATTTTAAAAGCAATGTTTGAAATAGGTAGCATCCACGTTAAGGTTAAATCACAACAGAAGGGTGGATGAGGTTGATAGTGAGGAGATCACACTTTTAATTACATTACAAAACATTAAAATTTTAAAGTAAGGAGATTGATTAGTATTAGAAAGAATTCGGGCTTTATAGTTTATTTTAAAATATATAGCATCAATACTTATTTAAAAAAAATATTAATGGTTTCACTTATTTATTTATTTAAAGAT